TCGAACCTGAGACCATTGTGTGACAACCAGCCAGCCGAAAGGAGGCTAACAATTTAACCAATTGAGCTACAACATCTTTGACAACATTTGTTTAAATTTAAAATTTTATTCTGGTTTTACCTGGTATAGAAAGATTTTTTCCCACCGTATTATGATTTTCTAATTTGATAGGGACCTGTTTAGTGGAGCACAATTCTTATTTTCTTTAATCAATCAGAGGGGAAAAAATAAATAAAAGGAACCATATAATATTATGCAATCACTCGTTCATGAAATTATAAGTCAAATATGCCGCTTCAATTTTCCAATATGAAATCACACACATCAAGTCTAAAAAAATTTGCAGTAGAACTTGGGGTACTAAAACATGCAGAATCTGGGGCATCACTTGAAATAGAAGTCGTGACTTCAACTCAAAATTCAATCGAGACCATATCCAAGCGTTGAAATCTGTCCAAAAAGCCTCCTAGCTCTGAAATAAAATGTCACTCTCCTATCACAAAAAACAAACAAACATCATTTAAAGAGCATTCTCTAAACATACATCATCTAGACAAAAGGCATTGGGATTGTGATACACACCTGTGATGCTTGAAAGCAAGATTGGGTCATACCTTGTTGTACTCCGATTATTTTACGTTGAATCTACAATAATATATGAAACATTAACATTCAAATATCTTAGTACAAAATAATGATTTATTTTCAAATATGGAACAAATTTTTTAACTTACTAGTAATTTGTTCATTCTTCCAGAAGTAGTAGCCTGTGTAGTGGAGTTTCCTTGCTCACCTTCTTGTTGTGGTAATGGATTATTTTTGTGGAAGTCTTTCCGATGCCCATGCTCACGACATACAGAGCATTTTAGCTTCACTCCCTTCCTGCTCAGTCTATGCTTTCCATTCTTACTTGTGTTTTCCAACTCAGCACTCTCCTTCCTCCTTTGTTTAGGCTTTCTTCCCTTCTTCATCTTTCTTTCCTTAGTTATAGGAGGTGGCTGAATGGGATCCCTACCACTATCTTCCCACATATCACTGCTATTGGTAGGATGGACAAAATGGTTATAAACTTCTTTATAGGTATCAACAGTATACCAACTACCCACATAATCTTCTGGATGTTCGTCCGCCTCCCAAATTGCACATATAGCATGCTTACAAGGAATATCAGAAAGCTGCCATTTTCTACATGCACAAGTCTTTTCACCAAGGTTCACCACTACTTGTCCATCAAAGGACCTAACTTGGTACTGATTCTCTCCATCATACGTAGCTGTACAACCTTTCGCTGCTTCATCTTTCAGCTTTTCCAATTTTGTTTGTATTTTGGGACAAATTCGACCAGTCATTTTACCACCAACTTTGTTTTTCACATGCATACGTCTCATTAGTATGCATCTAATGGCCTCAAAGATAATGGGTTGACACCTTGCATCTAGTAGGCAACGATTGAAAGACTCACATAGATTGTTGAGAAGCATGTCACACCCACATAGAACTTGAAAATGGCTTCTTGACCACTCTCTAAAAGGTCTCTCATGCAACCAATTCTTTGCCTTCTCACTTTGCCTCCCAATCTCTTGCATCCACCTCTTGAATTCACTTGTAGTAGTAGCTCGTGCTGCCTTCCAGATCAAGTCTTTCAGTAACAAGTCACTGGAAACATCTTTCCGAAAATTTGTGTACATGTGGCGTACACAAAATCGATGCTCCACGTCGAATAACTCATCATTTAAGGCTGCAATTAGCCCCTACAAGTGATTGTAAATTCAAATATTAGAAAGAACATAATACATCAAACCAGAAGGATAACATCTAAGTTATTAATAATAATTAATCTTAATTACCTTTTGACGATCATACATAAAGCACCATCTGGGACTATTTTCTACTTCAAGATCTTCAACCAAGTTTCTAATAAACCATTGCCAATTATCTCTGTTTTCTTTCTTCACCAAGGCAAATGCAATGGGGAAAATGCAATCATTAGGATCAACACCAATAGTTGTTAGTAATTGTCCCCCAATATCGGTTTTGATAAAACAACCATCGATGGATATGAACCTTCTACATCCTGCCTTGAATCCGTCTTTGCATCCTTGCAAGCACATGTACATCCTCTCAAAAATACCTCCAATCTGCTCAATGATCACTGTGGATCCTGGGTTTGTCCTTCGAATCTCACCTGCATAATCATATAATTTTTCGTATTGATCTTTCTCTTGCCCACCTAATAGTACCCAAGCCTCACGTCTACACCTTTGAGCTTTAGGCATGCTCATGGTTAGCATCAAATCTTCCTTGACAGTTTGGATTAGAAGGGGACAAGACCATGCAGGATCAACTCTAAACCTCTCTAGGTACTTTTGTGCTATCCACTTGGCTGTGAGGAATCTGATATTGTACACTTTTTTGCAATGCTCACTATGATTTATACGACATGTCTTGATTTGAGGTGTCTTCTCACTAGACATGTAGGAGACCCATATTTCCCATGGACAACCATCTTGGCAAACAGCATGGACCCTCAACTTGTCATTATGCTTAAACCGAATGTTCCTTTTATGTCTTATTGCATAATGCTTTGCTGCCTCCTTGAATTCATCAAAGGATTTAAACTTGAGACCTTCAAAAAATACTGGATCATTCATATTCGCTTCTGCATTGAACTCAGGAAATCCATCTTTCATCTCACTTCCATCCTCAACCACATGAGTAAGCTCCCCGTCACCATCATAAGCAATATCATCATCATAAGCAACAGGTGATTGCGGATTTGATGCACCTTCCAATTGAAAATCAAATCCATTTCCAGCTTCCACTTCTTCATCGACATAATTATCATATATCAAATCATCTTCCTTATCCATCAAATCATAATCACTGTCCTCAAAATGTACCTCAAAATCAGAACTCACATCACTGCTTTCAGATAATGCATCTTCTGCAAAATTATTTGCCAAATTTCTGAATGTATGCTTCTTTGAGTTTCTTGTCATATTCCCACTTTCAGGATTATTGTCGTTAACACCTGCATAAAACAATAATTAGCTTGTTGTTACTAGAAACAAAAGTATACAAGAAGACAAAAGAACATATAAAAAAGATTAAAAGTGATCTGTGACAAACCCCACCCGCCTACGTGCCTCATGTTTCAATCCCATACCCACCCATCTCTCTTTAGCTTTTCCTTCTCTTGTTACTAGAGACAAAAATGTGAAAAAATACAACAAAAAAGGCAAGGCAAGGCAAGGCATAGAGAAGATTAAAAGTGGTCCATATGCATTCTGCAAATCCCATCCTCTACTGCTGCCTACTACTGCTACGTGTCTCCCTAAAGACAGCAAAGACTAAGAGCATACCCCTTCCTTCAATTTCAATCTCACATATGCATAAATCCATATAAGCCTGCCCAGTACCCACAGTTACGGATTGCGCCGCACCGGCCTCGTCCACACTCCTCTTAGGCTCTTACTGTCAGTACCAAAACCCTAAGAATATATAACAGAATATATAACTCCATCTATTACCATAATCAAGCTTACCTCTTATGCTTCTTTTAGTTGGTTTGTCCGGCGACATTGCAATGCAGAGGTCAAGGATGATCAATGGTTATTTTGTCCGACTTGGAAGCTTTTGGGGAAGATGAACAGCCGAGAGGTTTGGAGGTTAATTGACGGGGAAATTAAGGGTTAGGGATTTTTTCTTTCTTTGGGTAGATTTTTATCAAGCAATGAAATTGCTTACGTGGAATAATAGAGATTAGGTGTCGCCATGTCATCCCCGTTAGGGCTTTGTCAGCGCCGTTAAGATGACATCCGTGAGATTTGAACGAAAGTGATGGATGGCAATCTTTTATATTAAGTTCAGTGGTTTAGTTAAATTAAAAATGAGTTTAGTGGTAAACATGAATTAATAGAACAAGTTTAGTGACCAACAATAATTTTCACCCGCCCGTCGACAAGTACACAAGATTGTTGCGGCGGGAAGATGAGAAGAGAGTGTCAATTTAGAGTAGGGAAAGGAGAGCATAGCCATTGTCGCCGTAGGGAGAGGCTCGACATGGCTGCTCTCTCCTGCGATTGCCTGGCGATTGGTGCGGGAAGAATGGATCCTACCGGGAGAGGGAGCACCTTTTCCACCCTATTTTTTGAGCTTCTCTAAAGTTCCCTCAATCCGAGGTTTGATCGCAAATCCCATTGTCTTACTTTCCTGCTGCTTATTTGCATTTGGTTTTCCTGGAAATAAATCTGCTTTCATGTGTACCTGCAAAGTTGATTTTGAAATGTGATTAGCTTAGCCTTTCGAGGAATATTGGTTGGGTTTTCTCTATTGGACTGATATTGATTTTTTAGGTAATCAACTTAAAGTTTGTGTCCTGTCTTAACTATTCTGTTTTCTTTGTGTAGAATAGCTTCGTTTTCCTAGAGATTGGCATTATCCTTTCCAGCTTCAAATCTTGCTTCCCTGATCCAACACGGTGAGACAATTGGGCAACAAAACAGTAAGTTTTATCCTCTTCCGTGGATTCTATGTTTCGGATATCTGCATTGGTAAACTCCGGTTAGTGAACTACGGTGAGAGACAACAATGCAACTCTTTTGTAAACTTGGTTGATTTAGAAGCTTCAAGGAGTTATCCAGTTAATGTAGGTGCATGTGAGTCTTCAGGGGGTGGATGTGGCTCTGAAGTTGTGGTATATGGAGTGATTTCCCTACACATGTCCATATCATGGATTAGGTTGTTTCCAGTAGCTATTAATGTAGTTTCAGTGAGCTGTCTGTCATAAGTTTTTGAGATATGTAGTAGTTTTTTTTCTTGGTTCAGTCCGAGGTTCTATTGTTGCAGAGTTCAGGTCGCTTGAATAACCCAAAGGCCGCTTGCAGCTGTCCATGTTAATTTTTCACTTTTCTTTATTTCACATTGGAAAGTCCCGCCTTTGTCGATGAAACGCTGTTCAGTTAGTATAGATCTAAATCCTTTCACCAGTACCAATGTAAGCGCCGTAAATAATCCGAGCATGAGTTAGTTTTTCCCATGCTTTGATTTGCCTCATGAATTAAATTTTCCTTTGCTTTGGTTTACTTATAGCCACAATATTGTGGCTGGGTTGATCTGAAATGGTTTCCAACATTTTTCAGTTTTGGGTTGCTACGAGTTTACCTTCCCGAGTCCTGGCCCTATGACCGATAATGGTGTACTGTCAATTGGGTGATCTTCAGTCGAATGGGTCACGTGTTGCTTCTTATCAGCTGTTTTTTATTGTCTGCTTGAAGCAACATTTGTGAACTGGTAATAAATTGGACAATACAATGACCTTCTTTCCAGGATCTCAATTCACTGTCGTACTGTGTTTACATTTGGATATGGAGAAGCACCAGAACTAGCTATGCTTACCCACAAGGGTAATCGCCCCCTATATATTTATGCTTCCTTCAGAGTGTTTTTTTTTTTTTGTTAATTGATTTTCTCAACTGAAATGTTGCATTTTACAGGTTTGGGGCAAGGCAACTTTGGTAATAATCCAATACTTATTCTTACAATGAATTTAAACGTGGGCTTGAACTGTACAAGGCAATTTTGGTAATAATAAACAGTAGTTTCCAAGGCTGGTATTGTAGTTTACTTTGTCATTGTCATGTAGTTTATTCAAGCTGGTAATTTTTTCAAGACTGCTGCTGTAGCATACTGTGTAAATTTTTATCAGTGGGTATATTGCACTGGTTTCATCATGGGAGGTCTTAGTCTGTGTTCTTTTGCTTATGTATTATTTGAATCGGATTTAAAATTGGGGTAATCTTTTGAATGGATGTGTTGCATATATGTGCAGGTGATGCTTGGCTGCGATGAACCGGAACCTGGAGTAACTGTAATGTAGCTGCCGGGGAGGTGAAGGCTGTTACTTTATGTTTTCTACTCTTGGTTTGGTTACTTTATGATTGATTATGTCATGGACCGCTTCTTCCCTAAATGTAACTTTTTAGTTACTGAACCGAAACTAACTACTGTAACTTTTTAGTTACTGCGGCGTTGCGTAGCCGCAACAGGTATTGATTCTAGTAGGGATTTAATAAGAGGGGGGAGTTTGATTTGACTTTTGAGGCCATGCTTATCCACCTTCCCCATTTGGCATCAGGCTTCTATCAAGGTATATTAGAAAAGGACCTGGAAATTATACTCTGCTCGTTCATTTTTATAAGGTTAGTTCTCCACTTCTCCTACTTTGTTCTGTTGTTTTCTTGTGACCTCAAATTAAAGTATCTATCTAGCCTGCACAGCCGGCAATGATCAATTTCCTACCCAAAATAACCAATTTGTAATCTTCTTTCTACAAACAAAACAGCTAAATCGAAGTGGATATCTAGGGAACTCCGATGTACCTGCGGTGTCGTTTGACAGCCACCTTTTTTGTACAACCCCATTTCTCAATCCCATCGATGGCCATGCTGATTCCTGTCAGCATTTGGCTATAGGATGCATATGCTTTGTTCTATACCTAATCCAAAAGATGGTATAAGTCTTCAGCTAGATATGAATGAATTTCTTACTCTGTTTCTGTAGGCCAAAACAGAGCAAAAATGACTAATAAGTCATCCTGTTTAGTTTCGGCAATCGTCTCTGTTCTCCTAGTTCAGCTTCTCTTCTCTACCTCCGGTTCATTGCAGCCACTCGCCTTTGACGATTCATCAGTCTACGAGACATTTCTTCAGTGCCTTGAATCTTACTTAAGCCCACATGACCAAATCTCAAACCTCGTCTTCACCTCAACCAATTCCTCCTACACCTCAGTCTTACAAGCCTACAAGCGGAACGCCAGGTTCAATTCTGACCTCAAACCTCTAATCATCGTCACGCCTACAAGCATCCCCCACGTCCAGTACGCCGTGCTCTGCACAAGAAGGATCGGTTACCGGCTTAGAATCCGAAGCGGCGGCCATGATTTCGAGGGGCTTTCCTACGTCTCCGATTCACCATTCTTCCTCATCGACATGTCCAATCTGCGTTCGATTGAGGTCAATATCGAGACGAATTCGGCCTGGGTTCAGTCTGGTGCTATTCTAGGCGAAGTGTACTACGCAATCTGGGAAAAGAGTAAAGTTCACGGCTTTCCCGCCGGAGTATGCCCCACGGTGGCAGTCGGCGGTCACTTCAGCGGCGGTGGGTACGGCAACATGATGAGGAAGTTCGGGTTGTCGGTGGACCACATCGTTGATGCTCAGATCGTCGATGCGAGCGGAGACCTTCTCGATCGGAAATCCATGGGGGAAGGCCTCTTCTGGGCGATCCGCGGTGGCGGCGGAGCCAGTTTTGGCATCGTCATTTCTTATAAGATCGAGCTAGTCGAGGTCCCAGAAACCGTCACCGTTTTCCAGGTGGAGAGCAATCCCGATGAGGGTTTGGCGGATTTTGTCTACCGGTGGCAGTTTGTTGCTCCGACCACTAGCAATGATCTGTTCATGAGGCTGCACTTCTCTCACCCTAAAACAACGCAATTGGAACAGGGGAGCAATGGTACTGCCTCCTTTCAGGTGTCCATTCAGGCACTGTACCTGGGGAAAGCTGATGATGTGGTTTCCTTATTGAGCAAGGATTTCCCTGAACTGGGTCTGAAGAGGCAGGATTGTACGGAAATGAGCTGGATTGAGTCAGTGTTGTGGTATGGAAGTCTGAACTATCGGAGTTCTCCAAAGGTACTGCTCGATAGGAAAGTGGTTCGATCCCCCAATGACACGAATTCGGCCAAGAGGAAATCGGATTTCGTGGTGAATCCGGTGAGCAGAGAAGGGTTAGGCGACATTTTGAAGCGGGTGGCTGGGCAATTGCAATTCAGCATGACGTTTAGTCCATACGGCGGAGAAATGAGTGAGATTCCGACTTCGAGCAGTCCATTTCCACATCGAGCTGGGAACTTGTACAAGATCGAGTATGTGGGGAACTGGAACGAAGCAGGGGAGAAGGCTGAGAGAGCTGTGATGACCCAGTTGAGAAGGATGTACAGTTTTATGGCTCCGTACGTGTCGAAGAACCCCAGAAGAGCGTATTTGAACTACAGGGATCTTGATATTGGGAAGATGAGTCATGGCAAAGGATACCGTAGCTATGAAGAAGGGAAAGTGTATGGGATGAAGTACTTCCATGGAAATTTTGATAGATTGGTGAAGGTGAAAACTGAAGTTGACCCTGCTAACTTCTTTAGGGATGAGCAGAGCATTCCAACTCTTCCCATGAAGCTTTGATGTTGAATTGTACGATTTCTGTTTCTAAGAAGCATCTTGGTAGTGTGCATTTGCTTTGTGAGAAGATGGTGACATAGACTAGTTGAATTCATTTAAATGATTCTGTAAGTTGCTACGGTATTGGAATTAGCAATCAATGTCCTATCTTCTTGTCATCCACAAGAAAGAATCAAAGAAAATGAAAGATATTTGCTTGTTTAATCGAGAAAAGATAAAACCTTGAAATAATTAAGTGTTTGTAACGTTGCTAAGCAATAAGCAATTGGGATGTGAATGATAATGATATAGGAAATAGTCCAATTCATTTTTTGTTTCTTAATGGTGACACAAGAGTTAAACAAATGATAGAAACTTGACAAATGACCTATACTCGACAATGAAGAAATTATATTTCTTGAGGTGAAGTAGATGCCTCTCCCCTAGATGGATGTTGGTAGGGTTGGCATATTGATTTTCAGTTAGCGATTAACCGCCGGTTATAACCGGTAATCTATGATTAACGACTAAATGAAAATCGATTTGTCGTTATTATGTCTTTCGATTGATGGAAGGAGAATGGTATGCTTCGGTTAGTCGAGTAACCGACGACGATTAACCATGGTTAACTGAAGCTAACCGAAAATGGGAAAAGATTGAGTGGTTTATAAGGAAAGTTAATTAATAAATAGTTATTGACGAGAAACTCTAATTGGAAAGTTAATTGGGAATGCTTCAATTAGTTGATTTTTAATTAATTAGTTTCCCGAATTATTAGAATTATTAAAGTGCAAGTTACCAAAACTTACCATAAAATCGAAATCACTGTTCATCAATAAAAAAAATCGGAGGACACTGTTCACAGGAGCCAAGGATCGGTTACAGCCAATTTTACTCTAAACCTGTGAATACCGGTTTGGGCGGGCCAAGTATGTCTGTTGATCCATTAACTATGTATCTAATATCAGTCGTTGGATTCCTATCCCCTTGAATAATGCGCCCCCAATCTCCACCCTCCTTCTTCTTCTCTCTCTCTCTCTCTCTCTACCCTCCTTAAAAACCCTTCCACCCCCTTTTCTTCTCCGTGCAATCAAATAGAGAAGAAGCAGCACCCTGCAGAAATCTTCCTCCTCCATGCAATCAAATTAAAGAAGAAGCAACGGCTGACAAAGATGAGCAGTCTCTACGACCATCCCTTTCTATCCCGCTTCTTTGGAAATCAAAAGATGAAGCAGAGGTTGGGGGAGATGTGGGTCGATTGGGGAAACGCATTCATAGAGATGGCATTACTCCCAACAGAATGTAGTTGAGCTTGAATTCAATAGCAACTTCATTCATTTTGAGCGTGATCTAGAAAGGAAAAGCGAGGTAAGAAAATTTCTTGATGCATTCCCAATAGAATGAATTACTGAGACCATGAATTGGCTTGCCATGCATAAGTTTTGGATTCCAGAATGTTTCTTTTGGGTTTCATGTGATAGGGCGAACTGTTTACTAAAGCTTAGTTTGAACGTCGATGGCATACTTGTGTGTAGAAGTTCTATTACTGAAAAAGAATGATATAGTTTAACATCTTTTGTTTTTTATACGATGAAGTGAACTTGGATTCAAACACCAAGCTATGTGAACATTTAAGAGCGGCGATATCTATACTCGAGTTTTGACCATTTGGTTGAAGGTAAATTTTGACTAGAGATGCTATTGCTTCGGATGCTTGCAACTAAGTACTCTCTCTACACAAGTCTTTCATTAACAACTTACTAATGAAATTCAAAGCTCAGGTGATGTCTTATCCTTCATATAAAAGTACTTCACAGGTTCTCCGCTGCCAATTTGGGCATATGATCGTGCAATGGTTAATTGCAACAGGTAAAGTGGATGGAAGTGTTGGGAGGAGTGGTTTAATATGAAGAAAGTCAGTAGAGAAGTTATCTACACAAGGGTTTTGAACTTTTGATAGAATTTACATCTGTAAAGTGTGTAGTGAGCTAAAACATCAAGTGCTGAAAAGAAGGTTGGTGCATCTAGAGGACTGTTTTGAAGCCTGAACGTAGGAGGAAAGATTCTGCACAGTGAGTGCAGAGGTGTTTGCTAGCTGCTGTCAATGTTACTGGTATGGATGCTGATTTTGTTAGGACTGTTGAAGATCAATTTGGCTGTTTCTTTGGCTGTCTGTTGCCTGGCGCCATGTTTACATTGAAATTTTTGCCATAAGTCTAAATGGCTCAAAGACTCATGTTTCTGCATTTGTAATCTGTTTTTGGTTCCCAGCCTCACATGGCTTTTTTTCTTTCGTGTGTCATTTGCATTTTCTTTTTGTCAGATACATTTTATCTTTTTTATTAATAAAATGGTATCACCTTATAAAAAACGTTAGTAATTATATGAGTTTTCGTATTAAACATGTTATACGGGTTTTATACGTATTTAGTACGGGAGTTATCAAATGAAAGGGGGAAAATGAAACGTCTTGACAATAGTACGGATCCGAAAGTTTTAAATGGATAGAATACCTACAAGTACATATACGTGTATTAAACAGAGTATTTACTAACTATGAATAAACTCAAGACTAATTACTTACACCCTAAGTACAACCGATACCAACTTTGGGCGCTTAACAGTGAATACCGCCACAGAGCGCGGGCTAAATAGCTAGTAAGTTAATTAATGAGTTACGTTAACCACGCTAATTGATTTTTAATTAATGAGTTATCCTAACCAACCCTAATTAATTTTTAATTAATGAATTATGTAAACTACCCCTAATAATACTCCGCAATTAATTAATTTTTAATTAATTAGTTTTCAAAACCCAACCACCCTCCACTAGGGATGGCAATGGGTCGGTTTAGGGCGGTTTTTGTCGAACTCGAACCCAAATTCAGGGGTTTATTTGCCCAAAAAAAACCTGGGTAAAACCCCATGGGTTTGAAAAACTCAAACCCAACCCAACCCGCTGGGTATCCGCGGGTTCATGGGTACCCGGGGATTTTTGTAGTAAAAAATTACAATAACAAGTTTCTTTCAAAATAAAATTTTAACATCAATTTTATCATACAAATTATTCATACAAAAACGCCAATCTAGAGCATACAAGCAAACCGCAAATGATCAATACAAATTGTTCAAAATTAAAAATAAACATCTATAAACAACATGATTAATTGAAAGCTTTTTCCTCCTTGTCAACTAAACTTCTTCACTCTCCACTCCACAATATCAACTTTATTGATTTATTCTAAACAATTAGAAAGAACAAATTATACATGTCTCCACAAACGTAAAGAATATTAGTTGTTTAAAGAAGATATATTGTTTAGAATATTAAATATACCGAGAAAGTAATTATATGTGTGTGGGCGGGTACCCATGGGGCGGATTTACCTAAACCCAAACCCAACCCTATGAACAGTGTAGCTGGTTTAAACCCGAACGCGACCCAAACCCTGTCAACACGGGTTGGGTCGGGTGGGTACCCGTGGGTTCGGGTTTTGTTGTCATCCCTACCCTCCACCAAACTTCCAGTTCCGGACCTTCCGGCTTCCCCTCGTCGACCCGCTCCGACGGCCCCATCTCCCCTCCCCTACGACGCGACACCACCTTCCTCTGCATCTTCTTCTCAGAGAGTTGCGAGCTAGAGCCAGAGACAGCGAGCCAGTGTCGTCTCCCCTCGTTGATCTCGCTCTGACCTTGCCATCTCCCGTCCCAGGCGACCCCAGGCCTGCGTGACTCCGGCTCCACGCAACGCCTTCCTCCGTCGAGCTAGAGACAGTCAGGCAGAGCAGAGAAGAAGCCCGCCCCTCTGCGACGCCGCTCCTCCCCTCCCCCCCCCCCCCCACCCCACTCCGACATTTCGGTTGCACAGGCCAAAACCTGGAAACCGAGCGGTCGGTTGGTCGATTAACTGTGCCTCTAATTCGATCGGTTGTCGGAGGGTTCTGGTGGTGGTTCGGCTAACCGATAACCGAGTTTTCAGTTTTCAGTTAAACCAAAATCTACGGGTCTCCACCCTTAGATGTTTGTGTTCCACAACACCACCTTTAAATAGTAACCTTATGTTTGGCAACAGGGGGATACAAATTTGAGGGAGGGGGGGGGGGGGAATTGAGGGGTAAGTTGCAGAGGATACATTGAGGAGGATGTAAATTGAAGTGCAAATTGGTGTTTGGGATAAAAAGTAAGAAGTGCAAAATGTTGGATAAAATATAATATTATAATTATTATTATACAAAAGTAAATAAAAAATTAATAAAATAAATAAAATGACCCCACCTCTTACCTCTCCTTCCTTCTCATTCCCCATACCAGGCCCCCCTACCTTCAACTCTCACATTTGCTTGACCCCACCCCTTCCTTCTTGCACTCCAATTTGGGTGGCAAGTCAAAAAGGGGGACTTTACCCCCACTCTATCCACCCACATTCGTGTTATAAGCTATCCAAACGATGGTAAATGCCTTGTAACTTTTATTTGCACCTCACATATGCACCTCTCTTCTTCCAAACAAAGTGTAAGTCACTACGAGTGGCAAGAGAAAGTGAACACAATTCCAGTGAAGGAGTAATGAGGGAGGGGGCTCGATAAGAGATGATTCTTAAAATCTGGTTTTAAGTATTCATGTTATTACGATTGTTCGATTTGATTACGAGATTCGAAACCAAAAATATAAGAGTTCACACTGATGTATATGACGAAATGCATTAATAAAATGTGTCAAAAGAGGAAAACAAACATACATGTTTGCAAATATGTATGGTACCCAAAGCCTTGCTCACTCGCAACAACTCGATCCTTTAATCCATCACCTCATCTAAGTCCTAGTTGTACCAAAACCAGAGTATCAGTTATTAGCAAAGCTTAAAATTCATTCTTAAACCACGTAAACTAATCCAAACCAAAACAATTACACACAAACCATGCTTAGTACCAAAAGTTGCTTTATTTTCTTTGTAATGACTCGATCAGTGAAACCCTACTCCGCCTCTTCCCTTCCTCTTCCTCATCGACACCGGCAGCGGCGGGATGCTCTGCTCGTGCCTGAAGAAGTTCTCGGGATCGAACTTGGTCTTGATCTGCACCAATTTGTTGAAGTTCCCCTTGAAGTAACTCGTCCCCCATGCACTCGCTTCAATGAAGCTGGTGTTCCCGCCCTTGTTCATCCCCAGATCCAGGTCCCTGTAGTTCACGTACGAAGTTCTGGGCTTCTTCGACACGTAGGGAGTCATGTAGTTATGCAGCTTCCTAACCCAGTCCATATGCCGAGCGGAGCTGCTCTCTCCATCCTGCCAATTGGTCACCCACTGGATCATGAACGCGTTCCCCTTCCTGTGAGGGAATGGGATGGCGGATTCTGAAATCCTCGCCATTTGCCCGCCCAATGGGTTCCAGATCGTCAGCGGGCTGTCCTCTTGGAGGAATCTCTTCCAAATTCCGTCAAGACCCGTCTCTGGAATCGGATCGCGCACGAAATCGGATTTCGCTTTGAAGTAATTCTTGAACAGAGACTGCCCCTGAAGCAGGACCTCCGGTGCGGTGCCGGTTGGGAATCCGGCCAGATAAACCACGGACTGGATCCAGCTCGTTTCTAAACAATCCGCTTTGGTGAGACCCAATTCGGGGAAACTGGCGCCCATGATTTTGAGGAGTCTCTCGGAATCGCCCAAAAACAGAGCCTGGTAAAGAGTCGTGACGGTTCGCTCGGTTGTGTTGCCGATCGGGCCCGTGGTGATTATGACCCGGATGAACAGATCGTCGTCAAGCTTGTCGGCGACCTGCTGCCACTTGTACAGAATTTTCGTCGCCCCAGTTTGGAGGGTCTTGGGAACGGTGAAAACCGTTACGGTGGCTGGAACAGGGACCAATTTCAATTTCCAGGCAACGATCACTCCGAAGCTCCCTCCGGCGCCGCCGCGGATCGCCCAGAAGACGTCCTCCCCCATGGCCTTGCGGTCCAGGAGCTTCCCGGAGGCGTCAACGATGAGTGCGTCGACGACATTATCGGCTCCCAGGCCGTATTTCCGCATCATGCCGCCGTAAGCTCCGCCGGTGATGTGCCCGCCGACGCCGAGGCTGCTGTAGAGTCCGGCGGGGAAGCCGTGGGTGCGGGATTTCTCGGCAATCCGGTAGTAGGCCTCGCCGATTGTGGCGCCGGCCTGGGCCCAGGCGGTTTTAGAAGTGATGTCGATGTCGTAGACGGCGCGGAGCTTGGAGAGGTCGAGGATGAGGAAAGAGGACTCTGTCTTGGAGGCGTAAGAGAGGCCCTCGTAGTCGTGACCGCCGCTGCGGATTCTGAGGTTGATGTTGAGCTTCTTGGAGCAGATGACGGCGGCCTGAATGTGGGAGACTTGGAGTGGGGTGAAGATTAAGACGGGCTTGAGGACGGAAGGGAGGAGGTAGCGGAGGTTTTGAGCGGTGGAATTGAGGACGGTGGAGAAGTTGGAGCTGTCAGGGGTGAAGAAGGATCGGGAGAATGGGATGGCGGTGGTTTTTTTGCTGTGGTCGGAGAGACATTGGAGGAAGCGTTGCTGCTGTTTTTGGGCTGGTTGGTGGCGTTTGGGAAATGCGAGGGATGGGGTTATTAGGAGGCAGAGGAGAAGCAGGGGAAGGATGGAAGAAGAGGAAGAAGGAAGAAGAGCCATTTCTTCTTTGTTCTCTTTCTCCTTTTTTGGTTGGAATGAAGGAATTGAATGTAGGAATTGAGGGTCAGGGGGATTTCTACTTATAGGGGAAGATGGCTGGTTTGGTAGCAGCGATTGAGTCTTCAGTCAACTCTTTTCTATTTTGGATTTTGTGTAGAATTGTCCATTAATGTCTTTGTAATGTAATTCCACATTCATGATTAAGCATTGTATTATTTCTACAAGTTGGGTATGGGTTGAAGCTAGATTTTGGTAATTCCTAAGAATTAGAATAACATATAATTGCTAACTGCAGGGTAATTCGATTTGGAATTATTTGTAGAACGATATAATATTGTACATACGTTCAATACTATTTTGATGGATTTATAAATTCTATAATGGTCATCAATTATGTTCAAAATCATATGGTAGCTTAGTTTGGCCCTGCTATAGCTTTTGCAGAAGCAGCTTCTGGCTGGAGCTTTTAGATAAGTAATTTTACAAAAAAGCAGTTGAGTGTTTTGCTGTAAAACTATTAGATGTGTTTTTTAATATAAGAGGTTGTGTAAAATGACTATAAATGACTTATAATATAAACTATGAATTAAAATTCTAAACAATAAAAAGTAGTCAAAATGGATCTTGTTAGATTTCTTTTATATTAAATAATATGATTTTATAATTTATGTTATTTTTAAAATGATATAAATGAAGGAAAATTATATTTTCTTAAATAAAATTAAAATATGGTAAGGATAATCTTGTATTTTCAAAACAGCTTTTCGCAGAAGCTCCAAATCGGAGCTTATGCTTTTATGTTATACAAAAGCGCTTTTCGACTTTTCAAAAGTTGAGCTTTTACAGGTGTTTCGCCCTGCTTCAGCTTTTGAACCCGAAAAGAACTTCTAAAAGCCGGGCTAAACATAGGGATGTATGAATTAAACTCGAAAACACATTCTACCAATTTCTATCTTACCATTTGAGCTATACCTGTGAAGTTTGAGTTAAAAGTTAACTAGTACAATTTGATGGAGGGCGGATCCCATTACTAGGGAGGTCCATAGTCACTTGACTAAGCCCCTCCTAGTCGTTAGATCTAAACACACCAATCTAATTGTTAAAAAGTGAGAAGAGATTTTTAATTAGTAACAAGGGTAGTTGGGTATTATGAAAAAATTACTAAGTATATTTACTAGATTTACAGACAGTACAAACAATACAAACTAGAGCGACAAAACATACAAATAGATTTACAAACAATAAAAACTAGACTGATAAACAATACAAAAACATACAAAATGGAAAAACATACAAACAATACAAACTAGAATAATAAACGATACAAACCGTATTGATACAAAATTACAAACCAGACTTACAAATATTACAAAATAGTCTGACAAACATAACAAAACAACAACTATTGCCGGAAAATCCAATCCGTCGTCGCCGGAAAACTCTCTCTCTCTGGGTACCAAAAATCTCCATGGACAAAAATCCCCACGGCGGAGGAGAGCATATTCTCGGAAAGGGACCACCGGGGGAAAAATCTCATGCCAACAGAAGACAGGCGGTCGGCGGGAATTCTCGGGAAACTGGCGACCGGCGGGAGCGTGGGTGTTCAACCCACTTTTCTATTTTATTTTAATTTTTAAGCAAATAATTTATGTAATTACCATCTTGTTCTTCATTAAATAAGATTAATACGAGCCATTAAATTTAAATGAGGTCGAAGGGTGGAAATTCACTTAGTCATGTGAGTAATGGACTCTCCTTAGTCACCTGATCTTATACCCAATTTGATGTATGTAAGATAGGAACATGAGTAAAAGGGAGGTGAAGATGTAGATTTTAGTTGCGGTGCTTTTATCAAGAGATACAAAAATTACTAGGGGTGGGCACATGGGTGGTTAATTCGCTGGTTGATGTCGATCCACTCGCAAATAACTCGAACCCAAATAGTGGGTGATTAAAGATTATTCATTATAAAATAGTTTTTCTTATTCTATCAAATATTCGTTGTATTTCCTGACCGCACTACACACTAGCCATCTACTTCTAAAAATGGAGAATAAAGAATATTTTATTATTCATTATTGTGTTGTGTAATATCCATTAGATATTGGATTCACATTATAAACTATTAATTTTATCAAAATCGTAAAATGCGTCTGTTTTCTCAAATTCTCTACACAATTGGTTGGTAAAGTATTGATAATTTTCAAGTAAATACTACATGAATTCACATGAGACAAAGTGGGAAGTGTTTAAATTGATACAATTTTACTAATTTACAAGGAACTTATTATAAATGTTATTAAACTTTCTTAGTGGCTAGGTGGAGAATTGATTTTGCGGATTAACCCACAACCCATCCGCCACCCACCTAACCCAACCCGCAGAAGAATGTGGGTGGATAATTTGTCACAATTATACCATCTCGCTAGTCAACGGATGGGTCAATTTGAGACCAAAATTCACACAACCCGCCCATTGTCCACCCCTAAAAATTACAACTATTATATCTTAAGAATAGACAAGAGATAAAAATTACGATGAGCAGAATTTTTAGGGAGGCCCGTCTTCAGCCCAAGTTCGTGGTTCGGAAAGTTCTCAGGGACGTTGTGGAGTGGGCGGTTGCAGGTGGTAATGTGGACAAAGAGCAGGGCAAGAGGAGTCTTGAGGAGTTTTTGGGTGGGCTCTAAGCGTTTTGGCTTGGGTCCTGCTCTCTTCTCCTTCTTTTGCAGCTGCGTGTTTTTCTGTTGTGGCATTGGCTTGGGACCTGTTCTCCTCCCCCACGTGGGCAGGGTGGTTTTTTCCAGTTGGTCTCGGGTTGAGTGTGATTCTTCTGTTGGTGTGTTGGGTTGCTACGCCCCTCTTGGGCGTTCGGTTTGTCCATTTGTGTTGCTTGTTTTTGGCGTTGTATTTTCTTCTTTTTGGCTGTAGAGGAGGTCTGGTCCTCCTAGCAGCTCTTCTTCTTTTCTTTCTGTTCCTTGTTTCGTGTTTGGGATCAAGCCTTTTTGATCCGCCTCTCTTCTTCTTTTTGTTGCCGTGATGTAGTTTCGTTTGTGGTTTTTTCCAAGTCTGCTGTTCTTTTGACGTTTTGGGTTTCATTAATAAATTTCACCTTCATAAAAAAAAAATTACCATGAGTTCAAAATGAATAAAAATAGAGTTACAAATCTATCACGGTAAACACAACTCACCGCATAGTATGAATCATTTATCTGGTATCCGAATGAAGAGGAATACAAGCCTTTTGCATGTAGACTTCTATAGTTCAAGCATGTCCTTACTGACTAGAGCTGTTATCATGATATTGATTGATTGAAATTAATTTGGTTTTAAGGACCACATGAAATTATCATTAAAAAAATATAGTATAGTGATTAATACCCCAAATTTATTTGGTTGCTAATTTTTTTTTCTTTTTTCGTTCAATGTGCTAAATTGTTTCCTCTTAACTTCAATTATAGGGTTAAGGGTAAAGGCTCAATCAGATTTTCTTTCTAGTTGAAGATCGAAAGTTTAATTTGACATGTTTAGATTGGACTTTGATATAATGCTCCACCGAAACGTAGAGGCAAAACCTGCATCAACCCATTGAGCTCACTACTACATGCAAAGTTGGAAGTCTTCATTCTGTTCGTCTCAGTATTCTATTTGAGATAACACCATCAACCATCGCGTACAAGAATTTGTCGCGGCAAAGTCTTATCAGAGATTTGAATGTTGAAAAGCTAAATATCTAAGTTTGTAGGTAGATAACTTTAGCCAAAAATGTCTACTTTGTCGTGCTTTTATTTCTACTGTCCATGTTCAGGGGCCCATGCGTGTGTCGATACGGCTCAGAAATTTTGTGAGAGATCAATGTTTCGTTGGTATAAAAAACTTGAATTCGGGATTTCTGACACACCTCACATAATTGCAATCGACACACCTTTAATACACTACATTAATTTTGATGACATATAGCAATAGGTACCAAATACACAAATATATATATATATATATATATTATTTATTTTAATTTTTAGTGAAAATGTCGAGAGGAAAAAATCCACAACCCATGGCTCACAGTTCTCTGTCCTCTGCTCCACTCTCTAATTGCTAGCACCTGCCGGTGGAACCTCATCCTCTTTCAAACTTTTACGTTAACGCCTGTTGCTAGCGTTCCTGCTCTCCATTTTATGCTGTGGAGTTAATCAAGAGCGAACTTCAAAATAAGTTTTATGAATGAATTTTTACTTTTGTACGTCGAAAAAAGTTTGATCACACCATAAGCGACAAATATATTTTACAAACCTTTCTGAATATGAAAAGTTGTCGTGTGTCACTGTGAAAAATAATAAATTACGACCTTAAGGAATTAATATTTTATTTTACTTTTTATTTAATATATTTAATATATTAAATATTTTTTTGTCTTTTGACACACCTATCAAAGAATCCTGGGTCCGCCACTGTCCATGTTTAAAAGTCATCTCCTCAAATTGCTCGATTCTCTATAAAAATACAATGATCATTTAGATCTCTCTTCTTATTTCACTCTCCATAGCGAGTGAATTTAACGCATTGAAAATCATGAAGAAGAGAAATCCGCTATCGCGAGTAACAACAAGTGTTTGTTGTAACTTGAATAAAGAAAGGGTTAATACCTTATTTTGGCCCGAACTATGACCATATAATCAACTTTGGCTCTTGGTTTCAGAAATTAACATCCTGACCTCCACTATGCAAGGTTTCAGAAATTATATGGTCATAGTTCATGCCAAAATAAGGTATTAACCCATAAATAAATATCACATAGAAAAATGAGCAACTCTCTTCTTCCCCCCCTCTTCTTTAAAGTTACAACTTGTAGGAATGGCAATGGGCAGGTCCGGGGCGGGTATCTTGATACCTATACCCGCCTCGTGACAGGTCTGGTTCAGATCGAGGCAGGTCGATCCAATGGATATCTAATTTATGTGAAAAAAATATTAGAAATATTCGTTATTTTCATTAGAAGACTACGAAAGAAACCATAATATGATCAAATTTAGTTAAATTATTGGAAAAATTAAGGTTTTCACTTTTTTACAAGTTTATTATAGCTAAAATATGAGGTAATAAAACAAAATTCCTAAATAATTTGACTAAGATTATATGTAATTTAGGCAAGAACTGATCAAGAACGGGGCAGATCAGGGCAGGTCAGGTCGATGAGAGATACCCATGCCCGCCGCTTCGCCCAAAAGCAGGTTAAACAGATCGGGTAAAACGAGATACCCATGCCCGCCGCTTCGCCCAAAAGCAGGTTACAACCTCGTTAGATCGGAAGCCGCACTTTTGCTACAGAAAATTGAATTAATA